GTCATCAGAGAAATGCAAATTAAAACCACAATGAGATATCACCTCACACCAGTAAGGATCGCCACCATCCAAAAGACAAACAACAAATGTTGGCAAGGTTGTGGAGAAAGGGGAACCCTCCTACACTGCTGGTGGGAATGTAAATTAGTTCAACCATTGTGGAAAGCAGTATGAAGGTTCCTCAAAAAGCTCAAAATAGAAATACCATTTGACCCAGGAATCCCACTTCTAGGAATTTATCCTAAGAATGCAGCAGCTCAATTTGAAAAAGACAGATGCACCCCTATGTTTATCGCCGCACTATTTACAGTAGCCAAGAAATGGAAGCAACCTAAGTGTCCATCAGTAGATGAATGGATAAAGAAGAGGTGGTACATATACACAATGGAATATTATTCAGCCATAAGAAGAAAACAAATCCTACTTGGTAACAACATGGATGGAGCTATAGGGTATTATGCTCAGTTAAATAAGCCAGGAGGAGAAAGAGAAATACCAAATAATTTCACTCATATGTGGAGTATAAGAACAACAAAAAACTGAAGGCACAAAACAGCAGCAGAATCACAAAACCTAAGAATGGACTAAAAGATACCAAAGGGAAAGGGACTGGGGAGGATGGGTGGGAAGGGAGGGATATGCGGGGGGTGGGAAGAAAGGGGCCATTACAATTAGCATGTATAATGTGGGGGGGTGGCATGGGGAGGGCTGTGCAACACAGAGAAGACAAGTAGTGACTGTACAGTATCTTACTACACTGATGGACAGTGACTGTAATGGGGTTTGTGGGGGGGACTTGGTGAAGGGGGAAGCCTAGTAAACATAATGTTCCTCATGTAATTATAGATTAATTATACCAAAAAGTAAAAATAAAAAAATAAAAATTATTTTTTGCTGTAAGATAAAATCATCTTATTTAAATAATAAAAAAAGAAAAACACTACTCACAATTCCCATTCCTTTAATAACTTTAAGGATATTTATGTATTTACTTCTAACATATTTTTCTAAGAAGTTGTTCATGGAAGTGTAACCATTATTTTATGTTGTATTTAGTAATGTATTCATTTGATACAGGTTTACTTAGGACTTCTTATGCATCAAGCATTGTGCTTGGCTACTGAGGCTGCAGTGATTGATATACAGGGCAGACAGGTCCCTGCTCTGAGAGCTTACAGTCCAATCAAGTAATTATAATCTAATATGTGCATGTGCTTTACTAATCATGACTATCTCTCATTATTTTTTGACACATTTCTATAAATAGCCAGTAACTTGTCATCAAGTTGACTAGTATCTTTTATATACACACATATATATGTATATTTTATATACAGATATATATACATGACACATCTATTATCTCACATGGCTATTAGACACAGAAACCTTAACATTCCATAATACTGCCAAGTTTACACCTCCAGAAAATTGGTCTTTTTTCATAACCTTAATTTATAGAAAATTCTACCCTTATTGCAAAAAGGAGTACAGTAGACAGTCACATACCCTGAAGATATCTGACCTCTGCATTAAGGCCATCAGGGAGAGGTATCCTCCATAGGACCAGCCATGAATGCCCACACGATCTAAGTCAATGAAATCATATTGAGAAGCTAGATACTGGAGTCCTTCCACCTGGTCATCAATCTCTATTTGACCCTGTCAAAAGGAAGAACATTTCATGATTCTGATGAATAAAAGTCTCATTATAAGAGTGCTTTTAAAGCTGTGAATATTTTTACTAAAGATTCCTGTAGTTTTTTAATACTAGAATTCATTATTAATTGAGATTCTGTTGCCCCAAAGAAAAATTTTAAGCTTTATTTAGATATAGATAGAGGCCTCCAGCTTCTGTCGCTAGCCTGTCCTAGAGTTTAGTTACCCCTTAGTCATAAAGTTCTTTCCTATTTCAATCCAAACTGTCCCTTGCTGCATGGGTGTTACCCATTCCCATTTGTTCTGTTGTCTGCTAAGAGGTCAGCATCTTCCTTGTAACAAGCCTTCCTAGACCCAAGACAAAAAATTAGCCCCCTTAATAGGTTGACTAATTTTATTTCTTTTTAAAACTGAATGCAGTAAAGCAGAGGAATCATTCTTGAGGCCTAATCCTATTTGCCCATCATCTATCTCCAGGAACTGAACATACTATTTTTGAAAGTCCTATTAAGTTCCAATTCCTACCACCACCACCCTGTCCGTATTACTAGGCCTGCCAGTGCACACAATATCACTTCACTGAGTCAAAAGCAAAAATAAGAACAACAAAACTTACATGAGAATACAACATAAGGTCAAAGAACTGGCTGTGGGAGAAAATCCCATGTCTTACTCAGCATGTCCAATACACTGGCAAACACAGTAACTGCCTTACTGTGCAAAAGGAACATCGGATTCTCATCATTTCCCAAAGCAGCAGAAAGGACATGGGGCATCTCTAAAAGGTAGCATTTAAAGCTTCCTGTAGAGAGAAAGAGGCTTGTCACAAGGAAGGCACTAACCATTTGCTTTCTCTCTTCACAGAGGACAGAACAAATCTCAATTATTCCTCTCAATAGGGTACAGGATGCTGAACACTAAATGGTGCTGCCTTCTGGCTAAGCTAGACACACAAAATAGAAAGGCAAGGTATTTCTATGTAAAAGTGGTTCTATCTCAGTTCCCTAGAGTTACAAACAGGTAGACATGAGCTAGCCTAGTATCAAGTTGTAGCTTCCCTCTCACCTCCAAACTCGCACACTCACACTCACACACACACACACACACACGCACACTCACACTCATTCATACACACACTCACCCCCAACTCCCTTTGTGGGATCTCACACCAAACAGTGCACCAGAAAATATAAATATATTTAAAAGAAAAATATTTTTATGCTCACACACCATTTTATATTTAAAGGCGCCTTCAAATTTAAGCCCTCGGTGACAGGATCCCCTGTTGTCTATCACTACAACCACATAACCCAGAGAGGCCAGGGTATTCAGGCGGAAATACTTGACTCCTTTAAACCGATTATTCACCAACTGCACCTGAGGAAGAAAATACACCTTCAGTGAAATTTATTATATGGTCACATACAAAAGCATAAGAAAGAAAGGATGCTGCAGAAAGGAGAAAGTTTAGATTTTTTATATTATGCCTTTAAAATGAAATTTTATTTTCTTGTGGCAAAAACACTAAAATGAAATGTACCCTTAAAAAAATTTTAGGTGTACAATACAGTATTGTTGATTATAGGTCAATATTGTACGGACCTCTAAACTTACTCATCTTGTTTAATTGAGAATTTATGCCTATTGATTAGCAACTCCCCACTTCCCCCTCTCCCTGATTTATTTTTAAATTAACTTATGTCTTTTCATGTTTATATTGCTTCTTTTCTTTAACTTCACATGCAAGGTTCACAGCAATTACTGAGCAACTATACACTTTAAAACTGTAAGATAATAATTATATATAAGGGATTTGGCCTACCCCACAGAAAAAGTTACTAAAATCATTACTTTTACCCTAAAGAATTATGTCAATCAAATGGCAGAGACAAAGATAAATAAGATAATTTATTTCTTCCTACCTGTCTCTTCTCAGATTGTTTCTGACTAGTATTGGGAAAACTTACTATATCAAACACTGTGACCAGTTCACCTTCTTTTTTTCTGTTATACAAATCAGTGCAAGATAGGCTAATTCTTAAATTACTTTACTGCCTTAGAAACTATACTTCAAAATGACTAAGGAATTAAATAGTTTAGTGCTTCACCAGAAATAAACTACCTATGAAAAGAGGACTTTAATTAGTGGACAGATAGTTATAGAAATTCAAGGTTTGGTGGGCACTAAGACAGACATTAAACTAACAAAAACTGCTCCTGGCAAAAGTGAGAAAGAAGTTTTCTGTGGCTGAAACCAATGGGAAAGCCAAGTCAACCAGGAGTTAAATAAGAATCAACACTATTTTCACTCAAATATCTACTGAGCACTTATTGGGCTAGATTGGGGTGTATGTGTGTGTGGAACATTCTCTTTCTGGACCTTTGGATGTTTAGTACGATTGTAACAACTGCCAAACTGGTCTTCCTGTTTGTCCTCTTGCCCTCCTATAGTCTGTTCACACAGCAGGAGAGAGGTATTTAAAATTTTTAGATGTAAAATCAGATATGATTATTTTTATTAAGGTATCAATGACATACAATCTTACGGTTTCACATGAGCAACACTGTGGTTACTACATTCACCCATATTATCAATTCCCCCTCTCCCTGACCCCACTACAGATGCTATAGAGTCACTACTTGTCTTCTCTGTGCTATACTGCCTTCCCTGTGACCTCCCCTACATTGTGTCTGCTAATCATAATACCCCTTAATCCCCTTCTGTCTCCCTCCCCACCCCTTCCCTTTGGTAACTAATTCCTTCTTGGAATCTGTGAGTCTGCTGCTGTTCTGTTCCTTCAGTTTTGCTTTGTTTTTATACCCTACAAATGAGTGAAATCATTTGGTACTTGTTTTTCTCCATCTGGCTTATTTCACTGAGCATAATACCCTCTAGCTCTATCCATATTACTGCAAATGGTAGGATTTGTTTTCTTTTTATAGCTGAATAATATTCCATTGTGTATATGTACCATACTTCTTTATGCATTCATCCACTGATGGACACTTAGGTTGCTTCTATATCTTGGCTATTGTAAATAGTGCTGCAATAAACATAGGGGTGCATATGTCCTTTTGAAATCAGATATGATTTTATGGCTTAGTTCCCTCCAATATTAAGGAGTTTAGATCAGAATAAGATCTAAATACCTTAGCACTGCCTTTGAGACCCTACATTATCTGGCCCTTGGTTATGTCTCTGATCTCATCTCCTATTATTTTGCCACTTTTTCACTATACCCAAACCACATTATTGACTCTATCAGGTTGAACCTAACCCCAGGACCTTGACATGTGCTGTTCCTTGTACGGAATGGTCTTCCCTGAGATCTTCAATGTGGCTCACTCCTTCTCATCCTCTGTATCCTCAGAGACCTTACCTGACCTTCCTATTAGAACTCCCATTTTAGTCACTTTGCCATCCTCTTCCCCAGCAATTATTCATAGCAATTCCACTATATGAAGTTACATCACTTATATGGCTACTTGTTTATTACTTCCCTCATTAAGCTCCATGAGAGTGGGACATTAGTCTGACTTGTTCACTGTGGTGTCCTCACTGCCTAGAATAGTATCTGGTACATAACAGGAACTCAATAATGAAAAATACAAGAATAACATTTTCCCTTTCTACCCTGAGGGGCAAAGGTGCCTGTTTTTAAAGGGAAGGAGCTGAAAAAGTAGTAATCAAAGAAAGACACAAATATAAGCATTTAAAGAAAACTACCTTTGTTCTGTCATACACAGAAATGGCATTTTCCCCCAGGGCCAGTGTTTCTGCCTTTGCAGCCAAAGGCCTGCTACTTTTGGAAATTATTAAAACATAATATCCTTTGATGTTGAAGTTTCAAGTCTCCTTGAATATCAATTTTTCAAAACCTGTGTCCTGCTATCACCTAGCCTCTCTTGTGCTTAGGGAGCATCCTAAGTATTTGTTAAAGAAACACTTTTAAACATACATCTGTTACCAGGGAAGGGTTTAAAGAACTAAGTCTACATGACTTCAGCAGGAAATATTTGTTGTTTTTCTTGGATTTCAATCTTGTCTGACTATAGACATTGTCCTATTTAATGACAAAGTAACTCACTTCATGTTATGAATTTTGACACTGTTGCTGTTCAATAGATTCCCACTTTGGGCTGAATATACACCAAGAAAAGATACAGTTTAGACAACTTACAAGATTTAACCAAATTTCACAAGGCTATTGTACATTATTAAAAAGACCTGGTCTTACGTTAAGGAGTCTTTTCATAATTAACCCAAATGGAGTCATCAAACAAGAGGAACGGCAAGCTCCCAGTGGACTGAAGCGCCAGGGGCATTCTATCACGCAAAGTCTCCTGGGGAATCTCCCTGCAAACTGAACATACGATGTTCCTATGCCTCCCCAAATTTGAATACCTCCAAAGAATACTCAGAGAAAGAAAGTGTCTCTATAAGTGCAAAAAAGTACAGCTATATTCAAAGTACTACAAATAATTTTGTTTAATTGTTTATACATACTGGTGTGTAATTATCTGTTTGAGCTTCTATTTTCAGCTTTTCTTGGGTATACATCCAGAAACAGAATTGCAGGATCACATTGAAATTCTGTTTAATGTTTTGAAGAACTGCATTATTGTTTCCCATTGCAGTTATACTATTTTACATTCCCATCAGCAGTGAGACAGAGTTCTAATTTCTTCACACCTTTATCAACATTTCCTTTCCTTTTTTTTTTTTAAAATAGCTTTCCTAATGGGTGTGAAGCAGTGTCTTGTGGTGGTTTTGATTTGCATTTCCCTAATGACTAGTGATAATGAGTACCTTTTCCTGTGGCCGGGACTTTTAAAAGTTAACTACTAATATAGGGACTCCTTTAGCCTTAAAATCTACAGATAACCAGTTTTTATAGTGTGTTTTTCATATATTTCATGTATCTTTCCTCACTGAGAAGGAGAAACATCCTTCTTACTTAGCCTTAATATCAAAATCATGTAACAAAACATGCAAAGCTTCTGAGAGTGTCCTGTAATTTCTCTCTTGAATTCTTTTTATTAAGGTCTTTTATTTACTTAGATTTGGCTTCAAGTTTTTAACAGAAGTCTAACTCTTTGATAATTTATGTGTAGATGACTATAATATAAATGTGAATCATGTTTTGTTTGTAGAATACACTTAATGATGGCAAAGTGATTTAACTTGATATATGATCATCATTGGTGAGCTTTTATGGCTTACGTAGTTATTGGATTTTATTTTTTGGATGACCTGGCATCTAGATACATTTCCAGATACTGAGTAACTGGGTGTAATCATAAATGATATACTGAGTCTAAAAGTTGCATTATATAAACAGTATAACTGTATTTTAATTTCTTCAAAAGTTCAAAGATACATAATTGAGTAAACATTAAAAAAATTACTAACCAATTCACCTATCTAAAACAATTCATTCTGATTGTCAATAGAATTTACTTAATACTCACATGCTGATACTTAATCCAGAAAAAGGAAAATCAATGTGTACACTTCTTACAGTGCTGAATAACAGTATAGCAGTTGCCTCAGCTAGCTGATAGAAGTATTCTACTTTGCTTAAGAGATGTAGCCTTAGAATGAAAAGGGGGAATCCATTAAGCTACCAAGGCTTTCTGAAAATATCTGTTAAGACCCTTTTTATTTACCAAGACATTTAATTATTTAGTTTCATTTCACAACAAGTTTCTCTACATAGAAAACAATGTATTTACCTACTGACATGAACATTCCATTACCATGACAGTTACAGTTCTCACTGTAAATTAAGAAATTAACAATGATTTACAAATTAGCCATATAACAAAACCCAACTCCTAAACTGGATAATTAGAACATAAGCCAGAATCAGTAACAGCAGAGACCCAACAATGCTCAGCTCTTAAGTAATTGATTATTTAAAAAATAAATTACCTAAACAATATACACACACAAATGTACATATAAAAACATACACACACACACAAATCAATATGCCCACCTGAGGACCACCATATATGAATAACACAGTGGGGTATTTCTTTCCAGGTTGTAGATCATGAGGTTTGTACAACATCCCATACAATGTAAATCCAGTAGTACTTTCAAAAGAGAAAATTTCTGGAGGTGTATAGTCAGGAAGAGGACCTGAGAGGAGGTAACATACACAGCATATAAAAGGAGTTCTTATGGGCGCTCTATAATCTGAGAGCAAGGAAAAGATACCACAGACCCCCAATCCCACACACAGATGACTGACCATTCCCTTTTTATGTGGTAGGAAATTAAGCAAGAACATTAATCTTTGAAAAAGAAAATCTAATGAATGTATCAAATTATCTATTTCAGAAGCAGAGATACAGTATTCTGAATAATCAATCCCTGGAGCCTAGGAGGTATTTATATGCCAAACTATATAACCCTTTTTGCTTGGCTTGTTGTAACTTATTGATGGTCATATACCTGATTAGAAACTGGAAGCCCAAATTTAACTCAGTTAATTTAACTTGCTCATGGTAGGTGCTCAACAAACACTTATTTCTGATCATTATAGAATAAGCCTAACCAGAAACCAGAAAAAAAGAAGTTTTTGGTTAACCAAAGCTATACAGACCTATCCTGTCTATGTATATTGAATGATGTTACAGTCTAAGGAGAGATCATTACCATATTACAAACTTCTGCTTGTGTACATCAGAATATACCAATGGTTTGAACCCTGTGGTTTTGTACTAATATCTTAATCCATTAGCAGGTATTAATAAGTGAATACACTGAACAGGAATAAGGATTTGGAGATAAAGTGGATTAAAAGATATATTAAAATTAGTCTATTTTTTCTGTTTAAGAAATCAAGCATTTTAAAAACAGGTTAAGTCACAATGCTCTTAACTCCCAAATTGAATATTCTATCTTTTACTAAGATGGTCATTGCTTTAAAAGTCTAAGAAAGCTACCAGCTGGTTATTCCCTAAGTTGCAGCTTTCCTGTTCACATTCTCACTAGTTCAGTGTACATTATGTTCAAGTTCATTTGTCTATCTGGGAAATCATCCAAACGTGTAAATAAATTGTTTCCTAGCTGCTATCTTGACTATTTCATTTTCAAAAAGGCCTTTCAGACCTGCTCTTGTCTGGAGTGGGAGGCAAACCGTCTAATTTGGTAGTTGATGGAAAGGGAGGGGTGGGTCAATCAGGAACCCAGCAGCTCAGGGACAGGCAGTGGGGAGAGATGGGAAAACTGTCCAGGAAATGTGGACACAGGTCAAAAGTTTAGTGCACTAATGTACTAATACTACTTAAGATCAGGTTCAGGGAAATGAGTACCTGCTGAATCCAGAATGGTGGCCCAAAATTCCTTTGTTTTTCGAGTTGGGTTATCTTCAGGACTGGATAGCTTGTAAAGGGACACGCAATGTGGATTCTTCTGGTTACTATACTTACTTATAAAGAAGTCACAATACTAGAAAAAGGAGAAACAATTACTTCTTCCCCAGGGAAAAAGATTATCTGATTATATGTCTGCATTGATGCTATAGCAGGAGTTTAGGAATCTGTTTATTTACATATACAGTACTGAATTTAAACCTAAGCTTTTTAAAGTTTTTCCTTACAGAATCAGACTTCTACAGGCCAATTTAATCAATTTTCACAGTACAAACTCGTTCTACTGGGCTTTTGCTGTATTTAACTTTGCAGATAATTATTACTCAACCCATTGAAGGTTTGTGGCAACCTAACATCAAGTTCATTTGCTGGCCAGCCTTTTCAGTCAGCTTTGTCACCTCTCCAGCCAAATCTATCAGCACCTTTTTCCCAATAGCATTTACTGATTTTGTGTCTCTGTGTCACATTTTGGTAATTCTTGCAGTATTTCAAACTTTTTCATTATTATTATATTTGTTATGATGATCTGTGATCAGTAACTACAACTCACTGAAAGCTCAGATGACAGTTAGCATTTTTTAACAATAAAATACTTTTTAATTAAGATACATACATTGTTTCTTTAGACATAATACTATTGCACACTTTAAACAGACCACAGTAGAGTGTAAACATAACTTTCACATGCACTAGAAAACCAAAAAATTCATTTGCCTTGCTTTATTGCAACACTCGCTTTATTTTGGTGATCTGGAACTGAACCCACAGTATCTCTGAGGTATGACTTTGCTCAAAAGGAGTATTATATGAGCAGAGGGTGTTTTATATGATAGGAAACCCTTTTTAAACAAGGACTTAATACCCGGCTGAGGCAGCAAGAGTGGGAATAGCCACGGTCAGTCAACCTTGTCACCTCTCCAGGATTTACATAACTGGCCACATACAGATGATGTTCTAAAGGAGAGTCTTTGGTGCCTTCAAAATATACCAGGTTTCTGACTTCATCAACTTGGATCTGAGAAAATAATAACAAAAAAAAAAATCAGTGCTCACATGATTACTGGCAAGGCCAGTAATTCAATAATCCTCAACCTTATTCAGAATCATGAGTCACCCTTTGACGTTTTAAAAATTTTGCCATCAATGTTAATAAACCTGAGTGGGTTTTGTTGACTTATAGCTAAGACTAGATCCTGTCCAAAAGGGTAAAGGGCACCTGAGTTGCACATTATTGGTAGCTTCTTATGTGGCCAAAATGTGTGCTTTTCTTAAAATACAAGAATTATTTTATTAAAATGATCACCTTTGCAAGAATAAAAATACATGTATTGCAGCTTAGGTCAACCATTCAGGTATACTTAAAGGAGTCTATTTTAGTATTCTGCATATTTCTTAGTGCAGTATTATCTTTGGCAATAATTTTTTTGGTCTTTTGTACAAATTTGCAAAAGCATTTTATCTACTTGGTTGGGGAATAACTGAATTCAATCACAGGTTCAATACTGATACAATTGATAAATAAATATGGATAATATCTTTTAAGTCTTCACTCAGAACTCCAAAGAACTTAAAGTAAACTCACAGCTGAATTCACTTAATATTCCTCCCAAATTATAAAATTTTAAATAAATAGCTTTTATTGTTCCTTTTTGCAATCTTCTACCAGTCTACTGTTGTTAAACTAATGTTTAACAAAATTCAAATTTTCTTACACAGCAAAGAAAACACAGATACATTTCTAAAAACATGTGTTTTTAAACACATTTTCTCCAGAAGCTTCTTCTTTATCATTAAACATTTTTTAGCATACATGGCACAGATATAGACACAGTTGAGATTGGCCCATATGACAGAAAGGATATACAGAAAGGATACATGAAATAGAAAAGGACAGAACCAAATATTCATGAAGCTTCCACAGGTATGTGTTAATCTGTGCAAAAGGTCAGGACTGGCTCTTGACCTAGCAGCTGGGAATCAGGCCTTTCAAAATTAAAGAAATAACTAGTTAATTTCTTATCCCCAATTATAATGGTTCTTTTCTTTGTTTCAAGTAATTATTTTATTCAACAGAAGTTAACAGTACCACCAGCGGGGCTAGGAATCTACATTCGTTAAAAGTTCCCAAGTGATGCTGATGCTTGGCCAGTAGCCCCAACCAAACTCTGAGAACCACCCACCAACAGTGAGGGACAGACACATGGGATTCAAAGTTTCAAAGCTTTACTCAATTACTGCCATTAGAAATCTCTGGGTAGGAACATGGTCACTGGCAAAAATAGAGAAGGAAAAGGTAACTAAAAAAAAAAGCAAGGATAGAGGGAAAACAGAAGAGAAAGAAAAACACATAAATAAGTATGCCATAAAGAAGAAAACTGTTGCACATAGTGGCATGTAGTAGAAAGACATTTTAAGTTGCCCAAATAAGGTTCAAATATGTGTAAATGCAATTTTGGGGGTTCTCTCAGTCTTATCCAACCATTACATAGCATTAAGTTTACATTAGTATAATTTTTTGTTATCACAACTTAGAATTCCACAATAAGATTTTTCTCCAGTGACAAAAACATCCAAGGTCCCTTAACAGAAAAAAATATATTTGGATATATAACCAGAAGGCCATGTGAGTCTCTTAATGGAAATTAGACTTTAAACGTTGCCTATGATATTCTAAAGTTTTTACCAACAAAAACAAACCTGGGACCTGGATCTTCATTCTTTCTCATTAATCACCTTGGGAACTATCAGTGACTTCTATAGTAGCCAGTACACATAATCCTTCAATAAATCTCTGAATCAATTTGAGGAAGTCAATTTGATTTTCACTAATTCCTCATAGTACACATCAACTTAACTATATGTACGACACATGTAAAGGATAGTGTTCCTAGAGATCTCATGAAACTAACCACCTAACAGAAAGTTGAAACAAATACAAGGTAATATGAAAAGCAAAAGAAAAAGTTAGAATTCACTGAATTGCTACACAAAGCCACAAGCTGAGAGGAAGCAGAGGGTGGATATCCCTCCTTCTCACTAACAATCTCCATTCTATATAAATGTCCATCACTCCTTGTAGGTGGTACATTAAAAAAGTGAAACTTTAAATTTCTGAGATAAGATAAACAGGTGAATGAGAAAGAATCACTACCTCTAGTAAATGAAATTTCTCATGTAAAAACAATACAATTAGTTTATAAGAGATTTAAAAATAATTTTCAAACTACATCCTAATTCACAACTTTAGTTAGACTCGACAAGTATGGACCAGACCTTTCCTTAAAAATAACAACGTTATATTTGAAGATGGTTCAACCAGAGCACATCTAATACCAAAGGCTATAAAATGGGTAAGACTTATTTAGGCTAAGATTCTTCCTTTCTAACAACTTGAGTTTTTAGGCCCTATTTGAGTATTTTCAAAACACTAGGGTCATATGAACTTGCACTACTGATTTTTAGTACCACATACACACAGCAGATGTTGACCAAACGTATCAGTAAAGTAAAAGAGCATACATTAGATCCATGCCGGCCAAGAACTTCCCATTCACCACTGGTAATTGCTATTTCCTCTTTGACAGGACACTTGAAATCACCTGAAGATAAACATAGTTATAATTCAGCACTCTATACCAGACTATAAGCAAATTAAACAATGAAGAATAGTATTTTAAACTCTTTTTTCCAAAAAAGCACATTAAAATATTCAAATTATGTCTGTTCAATGAAAATGTTTCGGAACTAGAGGGGTTGGCTGCACAACACTGTGAATGTACTAAAAGCTACTGCTCATTTTTAAATGGTTTTTAATGTTACGTGAATTTCACCTTAATTTAAAAGAAAGTCTACAGTTAAAAAACTCCAAGTCTTCACAATACTCTGGAATAATGATGGAATTATCTACGTATAATAAAATGAAAACCACAAAACAGATTCTTATGGCAAAGCCAGAAAAAAACTCAAAAGCACTTGCACTCTAGGTCTTTCATTAGACTAAGAAGTCTAATGGGTCAATAAGACATTTCTTCTAGAAACCCAACAAATTACTTAAAAAGCTACAGAAGGAAAATTTTAATACAATTTTTCTTCATTTGCCAAAAAATAAGCTGGATATTAACATAGTAAATGCCAACATACCCTGTTTGTCTTTCTGAGATTTTGTCTTGGAAGATGAGGCTCTGTCAGTGGCCTAAGAAAGAGGTTAAAAAATGGAAACCATTTCTCTTTGCCTAGTTGCTGCAAGCTATGGCTGTGGGGAGTGACAGCTGAACAGAGGCTGAGATAGTGAGATGGCACAGGGCCTTAACAGGGTCCCACTAGGTTAAAAAAAATGGACTTATTTTCCTTACTTTGGTACAAAAATTCAACTTAGTACTTTTAATTTTATGGCTAGAAAATAAATATTACTTAATATATAGGTAACAAATACTAATTGTTTCACATTATAGCCACTTAAGGCAGAAAAGAGGAGGGAAGAGGAAAATAAAGTGGCATGAAAGAAAAGGATGAAGACTTGGAGCAAGAAAGATGAAGAAAAAAGGACGGAAAGGGAAAGAAGAGGTAGACACACCCAGGGCCCAGAGACAGACATTGAGAGAGAATAGAAACTAGGTGCCTGAGATGAATGTTAACTGAGGAAATAGCTCCTACACTTTTCAATTGGAGTACATATAAAATTTTAAGTTAACATCTTTTGAACACTGTTTCAAAAATACTGTTTTAGTTAATTACCTACCACTCACAGCTGCTCCCTGACTAGTCTTCATCACTAAACTTTCTAGAACTCCATAAGTGGATTTAATTTCTGAATAACAAAGAAGTTGATAAGCGCAATTTCACACTAAGGGCCAAGTTAAACTAAGGCTTGCAGACAAGTAATTCTCCATCTTGGATATACAAGATCTTGTCTGCCTTAAAAAGTACTAGGCTAAGGAAAGGAGCAGAGTCTTAGGCAGTATTTACTTTGCTAGTCCTGAGATGTAGCTTACTGTTTGCCAAACAGGAATGATTTACAAAAGGCCATGTTTAAAACAAAAAAACCCAATTAAAAAGTCAGCAAAAGATTCAAAAATATATTTCTCCAAAGAGGATATACAAATGACCAATGACACAATGCTAGTCATTAGGGAAATGCAAAACAAAACCATAACAACATACCACTTCACACCCACTAGAACGGCTATTACAAATACATACATACATACATACATACATACATACATACATAAAAATAAAACCCAGAAAATAACAAGTATTGACAAGGATGTGGAGAAACTGGAACCCTCATAAACTGCCAACGGGAACGCAAACTGGTGCAGCCGCTATAGAAACGAGTATGGTGGGTCCTGAAAAAATTAAAAACACAGCTGCCATATGATTGAGAAATTTCACTTCTGGGTATACCCAAAAGAATTGAAAGCAGGTATTTGTATACCCATGTTTATGGCAGCATTATTCACAGTAGACAAAAGGTGGAATCAACTCAAGTGTCTGTGGACAAGATGAATGAATAAACAAAATATGGTATATACATACAATGGAATATTACTCAGCCTTTAAAAGGAAGGACATTCTGACACATGCTACACAGATGAAATTTGAGGATATTATGCTAAGTGAAATAAGCTAGTCATAAAAGGACAAATACACTGTATACTTCAATTAAATGAGGTGTCTACATATTCATAGAGACAGAAAGTGGTTGTAAGGGGTTGAACGGAGGGAGGAATGAGGAATTACATATTTTCTGCTAAATTGGGTATTTACTTTGGGCAACATAATTACATCAATCTAAAGAGCTATAACTTCAGTGTGGATGCAGACAGTATAAAAAATCTAGTATTAAAAATATCTAATAACTACATAATATTTTAAAAACAGCTTTTTAAAGCTAAAAATGATGTAGGCTCTCTTTAAACAAATAAAAATTACAGTCAAGGTGAAAGCAGAAAGTAAATATAAGTAATCCCACTACCCAGAAATTATCCACTATTAATAATTCATTGTATATTCATCAAGAACTTTGTTCCAAGTTTTCACACACTGCATGTTTATATTTTAACTTAATATATATTGTTTAATGATGAAGTATTAAGTATTAATGCTTACAAAGCATACAGAAGAGACATTACATTACCTTGCCCCTCCCACCTTCTGCCTCCAACATTTTTTCTTTTTTAGATAAAAAAGGATTTCTTACTTGGGGCAGGCAGCCCACCACTGGATCGTCTGTATTTGCTCTCTTTTAAAATGGATGTGATTTTATATAAGTGACGAAAACCTGTTTTGCATTCAGAGGCAAAAATAAATTCAATTTCATCTTCATGACTTTGGGGAAAAACATGAAAGATGTCATGGATCTGTAAAATAAATAGCTTAATTTACTATACACATTAATAAGAATACTATATAAACAATCCAATTAAGCTAGAGAAAGAAGAACTTGATAAACATACGCTGAAATATAAATAACTGTTAGTGCTAGAGGGCATGGTGTATTTACAATTATAGATTTTGCTTAGGCCTTTCAGATTTATCTTACTTTAGTCAAAGACTTCATCCATTGAGAAATAAATGTTTCCAAATGGAGAAAAAAGAAAAACATGACCAAAAGCTTTTTCTTACTTACCATCTCCATAATCCTTCAAAACACAGCATGAAGTTTATTTAATGATATAAATCTTATTATTACACAAATGATGAAGAAAAAAATTTTTAACTTTTCTTTTCCAAAAAGAAATACTCTAAAAGTTGAAGGGGAAACAGATGTTCATATATATAGGCTTCATATGATTCACTGAAAACAGAATCATATGAAGCCTATATATTCAGCCAGGGAGTGAGTGAACTGGCTTTATTTATTTTGTATCTTGTTTTAAGCTTTTTCCCACTAAATTGGAAAATGCAAACCTTAATCCAAAACTAGTATATTTTGGTATAGTTTGTCATTCTAGATAGGATTCTTGTCCTCTCAGAGGCCCTGATGAGGCTGTGTTTTCAGTATCTGATGTGTCCAGGAACAAGGGCAAATCTGCAGCTAGGGAGATATCATTTCAATGGAAACTACTTTCTATCTATAAACCATTCCCTTCTGGAACCATCATGCCTATCTGAAATGTTCAAACTAAGCACATGACATTAGTTACATTGAACTTAAAAAATTCATTTTGATAGTTTGCTATAAAACTTCATTTGCTTTATTTAGCATTCTGAGGAAATATTTAACTAAGAACAGGAAAACAGGCATACATTTATCCAGATGTCTGTTGTTTCTTCATAGATAATCAGTGGTGTCACAGAGTCAGGTACTGACTCGATGAGTCTCTGTCTCTCCATGGCATCATCTTCTACTGGGATAAATAATTCAGGCGAGATCAACACTATCTGTAGGCGAGTTTGGGAGCGATCTAGTAGGATGGACCAAGCACTATTTAAACAAATAAAAAGCACCAAAAATAAGGCAAAGTCTCAGGAAATGAAATTCCCCTACTCTATCTCCTAGAAACCATTAATTATTTCTGTAATCAAAATGACTTTCTTTAGTGTATGTTAAATTATCACTTACTAGGGACTAATTATAATTATTAGCTTATTCTACCCTTTTTTTCAAGGATATTAAATTGTTATATTAATTTTACATGATAGTGGATGATACACAAGCTTCATTTCCATCTATAATTTTATTTGGTACCATAATTCAATTTTGATATATTGCATAGGATGTGCCAACAATCATCTTAATAACCAAATAAACTCCACTGACTGCTTGGGTGACCCTTTTAATGGAACTCCAGGTCACAACACAGTAAAAAAGCGCGTTCAACTACACTGAGATTTCTGAAGACAATGGCTTCTGTGCCCAAGCAGGTTGTAAATTAATTTTAAATGGAACCTGGCATCACCCTGAAAGAATTCTAACTTCACACTGTTGAGGTAATTTACCAAGATGGCTTCAGAGTAGACTAACTTTACATAGCACATTTAAAAAAAGACACATCTATTCAGCGTCATGATCAGACTTTTACATTTAGCAACCAAAAGCATGGGTGCAAAAAAAACACCCTTTGTTGGAATGCTTTACTTTCCACAGAACAGAAACTAAAATAACTTGTTATACAATTAGTCACAAAAACAGACCTCAAACAAAGAAAATCGCGCGTTTTTCCCTTTTTTTTTTTTTTTTGGCGAGTGCTTTTTGGAAGCCTTGGAGGAACGGGGACCCCAATACCAGGGAGGCAGGGCAGCAAGACTGGTGGGCGGGTGCCTGGGACAGCCGCCTGAGGACAAAGAAAATCGTGCATTTCTTCCATTTTTTTCTTTTTGGCAAGTGCTTTTGGACGCCCTAGGGGGACAGGGACCCCAGTGCCAGGGAGGCAGGGTGGCAGGACCGGTGAGTGGGTGCCTGGGACCGGCGCCTGAGGACAAAAAAAATCACGTGTTTTTTCCTTTATTTTTTTTTTTTTCTGTTTCCACTTTCATTGTTGCTGTTGTTGTTTTGGATTGGAGAGTGCTTTTTGGAAGTCTTAAAGGGCCAGGACAGGACACTTAGACCAGAGGCAGGGAATCTGGGGATCTCTGGGCACTCTAACCCCCTGGGCAACAGGGAGCACAGAGGCCCCTTACGGAGATAAATAGCCTCCCGGCCGCTCCCCCTCCAAAGGGGCTCCAGCATTTGGAGGAGCAGCCCCAGCCAGGCCACGCCCACAGCAACAGCGGAGATAAACTCCACAGCAAACGGGCAGGTAGCAGAAGCCCTGTCTGCACACAGCTGACAAGCATAAGCCACTAGAGGTCACTATTCTCCCAGGAGAGGAAGGCCACAAACCAACAAGAAGGGAAGCTCTTCCAGCGGTCACTCGTACCAGCTCTGCAAACTATCTCTATCACCATGAAAAGGCAAAACTACAGGCAGACAAAGATCACAGAGACAACACCTGAGAAGGAGACAGACCTAACCAGTCCTCCTGAAAAAGAATTCAAAATAAAAATCATGAACATGCTGACAGAGATGCAGAGAAAAATGCAAGAGCAATGGGATGAGATGCAGAGAAAAATGCAAGAGCAGTGGGATGAAGTCCGGAGGGAGATCACAGATGTCAGGAAGGAGATCACAGAAGTGAAACAATCCCTGGAAGGATTTATAAGCAGAATGGATAAGATGCAAGAGGCCATTGAAGGAATAGAAGCCAGAGAACAGGAACGTATAGAAGCTGACATAGAGAGAGATAAAAGGATCTCCAGGAATGAAACAACACTAAGAGAAATATGTGACCAATACAAAAGGAAAAACATTCGTATTATAGGGATACCAGAAGAGGAAGAAAGAGGAAAAGGGATAGAAAGTGTCTTTGAAGAAATAATTGCTGAAAACTTCCCCAAACTGGGGGAGGAAATAATCGAACAGACCATGGAATTATACAGAACCCCCAACAGAAAGGATCCAAGGAGGACAACACCAAGACACATAATAATTAAAATGGCAAGGATCAAGGACAAGGAAAGAGTTTTAAAGGCAGCTAGAGAGAAAAAGGTCACCTATAAAGGAAAACCAATCAGGCTAACATCAGACTTCTCAACAGAAACCCTACAGGCCAGAAGAGAATGGCATGATATACTTAATGCAATGAAACAGAAGGGCCTTGAACCAAGGATACTGTATCCAGCACGACTATCATTTAAATATGATGGTGGGATCAAACAATTCCCAGACAAGCAAAAGCTGAGGGAATTTGCTTCCCACAAACCACCTCTACAGGGCATCCTACAGGGACTGCTCTAGATGGGAGCACCCCTAAAAAGAGCACAGAACAAAACACACAACATATGAAGAATGGAGGAGGAGGAATAAGAAGGGAGAGAAGAAAAGACTCTCCAGACAGTGTATATAACAGCTCAATAAGCGAGCTAAGTTAGGCAGTAAGATACTAAAGAAGCTAACCTTGAACCTTTGGTAACCACGAATCTAAAGCCTGCAATGGCAATAAGTACATATCTTTCAATAGTCACCCTAAATGTAAATGGACTTAATGCACCAATCAAAAGACATAGAGTAATAGAATGGATAAAAAAGCAAGACCCATCTATATGCTGCTTACAAGAAACTCACCTTAAACCCAAAGATAAGCATAGACTAAAAGTCAAGGGATGGAAAAACATATTTCAGGCAAACAACAGTGAGAAGAAAGCAGGGGTTGCAGTACTAATATCAGACAAAATAGACTTCAAAACAAAGAAAGTAACAAGAGATAAAGAAGGCCACTACATAATGATAAAGGGCTCAGTCCAACAAGAGGATATAACCATTCTAAATATATATGCACCCAATACAGGAGCACCAGCATATGTGAAGCAAATACTAACAGAACTAAAGAGGGAAATAGACTGCAATGCATTCATTGTAGGAGACTTCAACACACCACTCACCCCAAAGGATAGATCCACCGGGCAGAAAATAAGTAAAGACACACAGGCACTGAACAACACACTAGAACAGATGGACCTAATAGACATCTATAGAACTTTACATCCAAAAGCAACAGGATATACATTCTTCTCAAGTGCACATGGAACATTCTCCAGAATAGACCACATACTAGCTCACAAAAAGAGCCTCAGTAAATTCCACAATATTGAAATTCTACCAACCAATTTTTCAGACCACAAAGGTATGAAAGTAGAAATAAATTCTACAAAGAAAACAAAAAGGCTCACAAACACATGGAGGCTTAACAACATGCTACTAAATAATCAATGGATCAATGAACAAATCAAAATAGAGATCAAGGAATATATAGAAACAAATGACAACAACAACACTAAGCCCCAACTTCTGTGGGATGCAGCGAAAGCAGTCTTAAGAGGAAAGTATATAGCAATCCAGGCACACTTGAAGAAGGAAGAACAATCCCAAATGAATAGTCTAACATCACAATTATTAAAACTGGAAAAAGAAGAACAAATGAGGCCTAAAGTCAGCAGAAGGAGGGACATAATAAAGATCAGAGAAGAAATAAACAAAATTGAGAAGAATAAAACAATAGCAAAAATCAACGAAACCAAGAGCTGGTTCTTTGAGAAAATAAACAAAATAGATAAGCCTCTAGCCCAACTTATTAAGAGAAAAAGAGAGTCAACACAAATCAACATAATCAGAAATGAGAATGGAAAAATCACGACAGACTCCACAGAAATACAAAGAATTATTAAAGACTACTATGAAAACCTATATGCCAACAAGCTGGAAAACCTAGAAGAAATGGACAACTTCCTAGAAAAATACAACCTCCCAAGACTGACCAAGGAAGAAACACAAAAGTTAAACAAACCAATTACAAGCAAAGAAATTGAAACAGTAATCAAAAAACTACCCAAGAACAAAACCCCGGGGCCGGACGGATTTACCTCGGAATTTTATCAGACACACAGAGAAGACATAATACCCATTCTCCTTAAAGTGTTCCACAAAATAGAAGAAGAGGGAATACTCCCAAACTCATTCTATGAAGCCAACATCACCCTAATACCAAAACCAGGAAAAGACCCCACCAAAAAAGAAAATTACAGACCAATATCCCTGATGAATGTAGATGCAAAAATACTCAATAAAATATTAGCAAACAGAATTCAACAGTATATCAAAAGGATCATACACCATGACCAAGTGGGGTTCATCCCAGGGATGCAAGGATGGTACAACATTCGAAAATCCATCAACATCATCCACCACATCAACAAAAAGAAAGACAAAAACCACATGATCATCTCCATAGATGCTGAAAAAGCATTTGACAAAATTCAACATCCATTCATGATAAAAACTCTCAGCAAAATGGGAATAGAGGGCAAGTACCTCAACATAATAAAGGCCATATATGATAAACCCACAGCCAGCATTATACTGAACAGCGAGAAGCTGAAAGCATTTCCACTGAGATCGGGAACCAGACAGGGATGCCCACTCTCCCCACTGTTATTTAACATAGTACTGGAGGTCCTAGCCACGGCAATCAGACAAAACAAAGAAATACAAGGAATCCAGATTGGTAAAGAAGAAGTTAAACTGTCACTATTTGCAGATGATATGATACTGTACATAAAAAACCCTAAAGACTCCACTCCAAAACTACTAGAACTGATATCGGAATACAGCAAAGTTGCAGGATACAAAATTAACACACAGAAATCTGTAGCTTTCCTATACACTAACAACGAATCAATAGAAAGAGAAATCAGGAAAACAATTCCATTCACCATTGCATCAAAAAGAATAAAATACCTAGGAATAAACCTAACCAAGGAAGTGAAAGACTTATACTCTGAAAACTACAAGTCACTCTTAAGAGAAATTAAAGGGGACACTAATAAATGGAAACTCATCCCATGCTCATGGCTAGGAAGAATTAATATCGTCAAAATGGCCATCCTGCC